AATGATTACTTCACTGACTTTATTATAGCATCTTATTAGGAGCAGCAGAGAAATTAATCTGTTCTCAGACTTTGAGGGAGACGATATACACATATTGTAGAACGGATGAGAAAACGTATTGATAGATTAAATTAAGTGCTGATATAAGAACAGAAAATATTATCACAGCTGCAATTTCCTAATGAAAAAAGTGGAGGAAATGAAAAATGTCTATTAGTGTGATTAACGTATTAAAGCTGGCTCAGCGTAACATCTATGCTGACTCATTTTAGGACCATTAGCCATTTGACTTCCTCTCTCCTCTTTCCTGTAGAAGTCGCTTGGACTGTTGTACCTCTCTTTCTACGGCGCTGGTTTTAGTAGAATTGGACCTAAACAACCATAAGCCTGTTTAAAGTCTGTCTAGTTGAGATGAGGATGTTTTTAGCTGTGGTCCTGGAAGCTCTGGAGGCAACGTTTGTGGCTTTGTTTGTTTTCTGAACGGTGATTTAACCTCCCTAATGTTGGTCTGATTGCTGGAAATGACTGAGCGGCTGCAGACGAGGCGAGGCATAGAGATGCAGCTTGTTGCTTTGATTGTTTTAGCTGAACCTTCCAGCTTGCTGCTCATCCTCTAACCCTGCATCTGTGTGTGTGTGTGTTTGATGCACAACACAGAAATCTTTCAATGTTTCCTCTCAGCACGGGAGGTAGCTCGCAGTCGGGACAGAGAGCGGGCCAGCAGCAGTACGGGCCTGGGATCTGGCTCGGGATCTGGGTCCCGGAGCGGAGCGGCAGCATCGGGAGGAGGAGAGGAGGAGGTCGCTCTGTCGCAGGAGGAGAGGCGGGGCAGCGGGGGTCTCCCGGAAGGCCAGGATCTCTACACCGCCGCCTGCAACTCCGTGATCCACCGCTGCGCCCTGCTGCTGCTGGGGGTCAGCCCGGTTCTGAGCGAGCTGAGCAAACAGAACCAGGAGGAGGGCCCGGCCCAGTCCGCCACAGGAACACAGGAATGTCTGGGCTTCATGACCAGGTGAGTTTAAAGTTCCTGAACCATTCAAACCACTCCTCTGGTTATAATCTGAATCAGATGAAGCTGTAGTTCTGAATGTTTACTTACATCAATCTATGCATCCCAGGCATTTAAACCTGCATAGTGACCATCCTGCCAGCTGAAGTAAATTCAATTTAAAATCCAGGTTCCCTTGGGAGCGAATGGATTCCTGTGTATTTACTGCGGTCCTGCGTGAACAGAGAGAGGCTGGCAAGCTGTGATTGGTCAACATGGCAGCGTGTTTGCTGCAGAGTTAGCCGCTGAGTGCAGCGGGGCAGAGCCAAACACTGCGTAGACCTGGTTATGCATGATGAGGGTGGTGGTGAAAAATAAAAGCATTATTAATACCTTTATTATCCCAGAGATTAAAAGTTATTCGCTTCCTCGTCTTTCTTTCTTTCCCTCCTCCTTAAATGTGACATAAAACCTGCCGACTGTAATAAAGTCTGCTGTGAAGTTTACCATTTTAAATTTCAAAACTCTACAAATCTTGACCTGGAAAATTCTGGAATTCCCACCTGGAAAACGTTAGATCAGTCGCAGCTCCTCGTACTGAAAGCATCACGTTTCTATGGTCCGTTTATTTCAGTCTGTCTGGAATTTGACGGATGGTCTTGGTTTAGTTTAAGAGCAGCTATAAACGGGGACAATGCCTTTAAAAAACTAATATTTATTAAAAAAGATTCACTGCAATTAAAGAGGAAAATATCTGAACACAGAGGGTTCCTTTAAAATCATGTTTGGAACATTTTCAGACCATTTTAATTGGATAGAAAAATCCCAAACAATCATGATAATCACAGTGAAACACGTTTTAAAAGACTTAGGACCAGCTAATTTGGTTCTGACGTAAACAAAGGTTTCAAATAAGTCAGAAAAGCAGTGAAAAATATATATAAATATTGAACTAATCTACAATATTTTAAACTGCTGATGAAAAGAAACTGATGGACATGCTCGTATCTGTTTATCCTCAAGAGTTAGCTGATGATGATGAGGAAAGTGATGAAATGTTTCTGCTTGTAGGAGCGAGAGTCTGAGTGCCGAGAGCCGCTCTGTGCAGAACAGCCCCGGCTACCGCCTCATGAAGTCCAGGAGCGAGTCGGATCTGTCCCAACCGGAGTCTGATGAGGAGAGCTACAGCCTGGTAAAACGCACGCCGCCTCCTGCCGTCGCTCCGCTCCCATTCTTCACTGTGTCCATCTAAAATCCTGGCTTCTCTCCCGCAGAGCGGACGAAGGAACGTGGACCTGGACCTGGCCTTCTCTCATAAGAAGCGAGGTTAGTGATCGCGTGAAGCTGCTGATTCCCAGCGTGCGCCTGTCAGTGTTGTCGTTCATGTGTTGCTCTGTGTCTGTCTCTGGTTCCTCTGGGCTCAGTTTATTTGCTTCTTTTGGGGCGTTTCAGCCCCAAACGCAGGAGGAGCTACAAGCAAGTAAACGATGGCATGTTTCCTCCTTCCTTCGCTCACAGCTCTGCTTCCTGCACATTCATTCTCCATAACCTGTCAGAACCACAACCATTCTGCCGGGGTGGGGGGGTCCTGCTTCCCTCTGATTTTCCTTCCTGAACGTCCTGTTCCCTCGTGGTGAAGGTTCTGAAAGAGTGGGGAAATAAATCACTCCAGGCTCTACAGCTTTTAATTAGCCGCAGATTCAGCGAATTAAACGCTGATTTGAACATTTTTCAGCCGTTAGATCTGATTAAAAGATTCAGAATTGATTAGAAAGGTTTAATTTCTCTGAGGGATGAAGCAGGATGTCCAGCTGCTAGAGAAAGCAACCAATCAGTTGACTGAACGACAGCGGTTCATAAAGCAGATTTCCTCTGACATGACTCTGCCACACCTAAGGTGTCTTCCTTCCTACTGTAAATGCACGCATACGGAGTCGTACCTCCTTCTCACCTGACTGACGAGTTTAAAGGCTATTAGAAGGAGGATGGAGAACCTGGATCACGGCGGGAAG